GGTCTGGGGCTGGGCTCCCCAGTGCCTCCTCACCTTCGGAGCTGCTGACTAATGGAGATATACCCCCACCCCATCCAGCGCTGCAGCCAAGGGCCAGGGAGAGGTATGGGGCATAGGATCACACAGCTCAGCCCAGCCGGCCACTCTCTTCCTGATACAGCCAACCTCTCCGGTCACACTGCCCCCTGTGGTCATTGAGGAACATAATTGTCCCTCCTATCACATCCTGCCCTTTCCATGTGAGGGAAAGCAATCTAATCCCAGGCACGACCCATTTTCCTGGCACAATCAAACCCTGACTTTGATTTTAGTTAGGATAAGAGGAAGCTGCATACCAAATTTGGTGGTCCTAGCTCTTACTGTTTAGGAACAGTTAGAAGGACTCAGAGATAGATGGATGGATTCACAGACAGACAGACAGACAGACAGACAGACCACAAACTCTCTAATATAGATATAGATAGATTGTGAAGAAGGGGGACAGCTTCATTTCAGTAAAAAGCTTTTGTAGAGGAAGTTCGTGTAGTCAGAAGGGAGAGGAAATTACAATATCACAAGGCTCCCTGCCTTTACTAGCTCCTCCTCTTGATTAATTATGTAGGCTGACTCCCTCGATACCAGGATTCTGTTTCACGGGTGGACTGCATTTAAGTACCGCATGAACACCAGGTCCCCTATTCACAAATACATGATCCATCTTCTCTGCCATGATCAGCATCATCCCTTGCACAAGTATTGAATGTATCTGAGTTTTCTTAATGCAGTTTAGCAGCTGGAAACCATGCACAGTCATAAAGAATCAGCTCCCTGCTTAGTACCAGTGGTCCATACAGTCAGAACGTTGGTCCTGCCTTAATATTATGCACCCATAGATATGCTGAAAAGGCAGTGGTAAGGATAAGAGGGGGTCTTATGGTGCAGCTTTCCTCTATTCCCGGCAAATTCATGAAGCAATTGCCTGTCACACCTCAGCTGTTAACCTGTCAGGACTCCACAATGGTGGATCTCTTTCCACAGGACTCTGGAGTCTGTAGCTGAGTTCTCATTCATCAATTTTACTTACCAAATCCTGTGAGAATAAGGGACCCCACCATCATAATGAAGGTCTGTAAGGTGTCTGTGTATATCACAGCAGCAAGGCCACCTAAATGCAAAGAAACCCCAATAAGAAATGTGTGGACATCTCTGCTAATGGCTTAGGGGGGATCATCTCACATTGCCCCTTACTATTTCTCTCACTCATTTTTCCCCATTTGCTCCGCTTCCCTTTTCATCTTTCTGAATTCTCTTTTGATATGTTTTTAATTGATCAATCTGTCCCACAAACTCACCTGTGATTGTGTAAAGACCAGTAACGGCCAGCAGTATGATTATGGCCAGATAAAGATTTAGGCCCATGGCCATTTGGATAAATATAGCTCCAGAGAACATATCTGCCTAATAAAAGGAAAGATGACAGGTTAGGGAATGCTTAAGATATGATTTCTTAATATCATCTCATCTCTTCACCCCTCCCCCCGCCTTCCCAAGAACTGCACAAAGGAATAAAAGCACATGCAAAATACAGACAGATCCTGTCTCCTAGGTTCCCCAATTTGCTTTATTTTAAATGCCAGAGGATTTCTGAAGTTCACTTCTTTGTCTCTGCCCTTTTCACAATGGTTTCCAGAAATGTACCAGTGAAGCCTTCTAGGCAAATCTGGCTACCCACCATCCTATGTCTGTAAATTTATGGATGAGAAAACCATTCAACATAGTTCTTAAATCCAAGTCTTTTGACAATCTTTTCATTACATCCAGGAAGAGTTTTGTTTAATGACTCTTCTGTATTTATTTATGTCTTGCCTCAAAGCTATTCTTCATTCCTTTCTTGCGCCACACAGGCTTCATCTAGACTACATGGCTCCGTTGACAGAGCCATGTAGTCTAGACGTGGCCACAGATGCTTGGTGCAACTGATAGTTGAGGACAAAGAGGAATCAAAGGTGACACCTTATTTTACACAAGATCCATGAATATCTGTCAGAGTTGTTAGGATTCTGCTGGCCAGCTGGAGAAACAATTAGCTCTTGTGCATGGTCGGTGGGTATAATAGGCCAGGAAAGCATTGACTTTCTTGGCACTGGTGCCAACCTGCCCTGGCCACTGGGCCATGGTACCCCTCTTCTCTGAGAACTCCATTGCCTGTTCTAACCCAGAAGGTCCCTGTTACTTACTACATCCCTCCTCCTGGAAACAGGGGAGTGAGGAGTGACATGGAGAGCCAGTGGACTGCTGCGGGGGCCGGTAGCTCAGGTCTCAGCGCTGTGCTCAGCCCAGCATGTGGGGAGGCTGCTGGCTCAGCCCAGTCCTGGGTCCAGCCCAACTCTGGCAGCACTGGGACTGGTCCAGTACTCGGGGGAGCCTGGCAGTTTGGACCAGCCCAACTGGTGGCGCTAGGGTCAGTCCAGTGCTCAGGGAGGTTGCTGGCTCAGTCAGCCATTGAGGACAGCCTGGTACTCAGGAGTCAGGGGAGCAGCTCAGTCTGGTGCTGGGGGAAGGGGAGAATGACAGTGGCTTGGCCCAATGTGGCTGGGGCAGGCAGTGTAGGGCTCTCTGGTCTTGTGGCTTTTCCTTTTATGGGGGGAGGCTTTGGGGCTCCAGCATGAAGGGGCAGAGTCTCAGGTGGAAGGGGTGAGGCCAGTGGGGCTGCCACCCCAAAGCTCTTGAGGACGTGTAATAATATAGATTTTGTGAATACAGCCTCGGACTTCAGTTTCCACTGCAGCTGCCTCAATGCAAACCCCTAAAGCTGACATAATCTGAATAACCAATTCCCATCCAAACCATGCCTCACCAGTGTAAATCGTACCTCTGTTAGGGGGTTTGTAACAGCACAACGTGCTGCAGCAGGACTGGGGAGCAGGGGTATTTGTGAATTTGTGTTCCTAAATCACTTAAGTGCTTTTGAAAACCTCCCCCTAAAAGCCTAGTGCACGGAAGGCGTAAGAAGGATGTTTAGTGCTCAGCTCTACTAGATTTTAGGACAAATATTTATTCAAGGAACACAGGGGCTGCATCTAGACTGCAAGCCTCTTTTGAAAAAGAGCATCTAGACAACAAGAAGATTTTTCAAAAAAGCGGCTCACTTTTTCGAAAGAGAGTGTAGAAGCTCTCTTTCGAAAAAGCCCTGTTTTCATGCAATAGTGCCTTTTTTCGAAAGATGACTTTCGACAAAAAGCGTTATTCCTCATAGAATGAGTTTTACCGTTGTCAACAAAACCACCATGTTCTTTCGATTTACTGTCCACAGAACGCGGCAGTAGTCTAGACACAGGTACAGTTTTTTTTAAAAAAGGCCACTTTTTTCGAAAAAACCCTGTAGTCTAGACACACCCAGGAAGTGCCAACTAATCAGGTACTCTGCCACAATGAAAGGGGTGAAATAAAAGTCAGGCATCCGGTTGATGGTGCCAGGCTGTACATGACAACAACACTTGGAGCGTTTTACTTTTACAGCTCTTTACAAGCAGTAAGTAACGTTCTCATGACGCCCCAGTCAGCCAGGCAATTGAGTAATCCTCATTTTAGAGACAGGGAAAGTAAAGTGAAAATATAAAGGGGCAAATCCACTCCACAGCATTCAGCTTGAGTGGCTGGGCAGGTGCTGGAGGAAGAAAACCTCTCTCCCAGGCCACTGAGGAAACCCCTCTTTGAGACTGTCGCCACCTCAGTGCCCCTTCATCTTTTCTGCCATCAGGGTTATGCAACTGCAGATCCTCCATCCTATCCCCACTACCAGCCTCTGCATGCTGCCATGCAGAGCCATTGTGGAGCTAACCTGTGCGCCACATAGTCTGTGCAACACATGTATGGTACCACCAACAAATTCTGTCCTAGCCTTCATCATATGTGACGAGGGAGCCTGAGGCTGTCCTAAGATGCTGGAATTCGTAAAGCTGAATTCCATATGAGCCCACGCTGTACTCTAGGGGAGAGAATTCCTTCATGAGCCTCACAATTGATCAGCTTATGCCCCAACACTTGAAGTTCATTTATTTTTAGTTATAAATGATCCCTCAAGGAAACCTGGCTAATTATTTGACATCCTGAGCAATATTTAAAATCCTTTGATTAACTATATTACTTTCAAAGTTCACCTCTTCTACATCCCAGTTACATTGTTTATTGCTAATGTTTCCTTGTTGCTCCATTAACATTCTTTCATACACACCATTAAAATTGTGTCTCTGAATCGTCTCCATGCAAAAAATCACTCTAGCGCTGTGCACACATTATTCAGGAACCACTAAGCAAAACTAAATGACATGAACCTACTTCTACAACTACCATTGCATTTAAAAGATTCCAAGGAACTCTTGCAATGCCTTCACAGACTCATGTTTTAAATTCCTGCAGATTACAGGGGGAAGCATCCACAGACTTTGTTTCCCCAGATACCTACCCTTGATTTAATCAGTTGCTGGTCACCAATGCCTTGCCTACACTTGATTTTCTTAAAACTGCCCACCTTTTCTACCACTGGAACAGCGCCCTGGGTGACAGCAATGGAAGAAGCACTAGTACTTTTGCTCCCTGAAAGCTACCATGGCAACAACTCACACAGTGGTGTAGGTTTATGCTGCAGCTCATGGATTAAGCTTTTCCACTCAGCTTCTGCTCTGCAACATCTTGGTTCTGGGAGCCCCACAGACCAATCCAGACAGCACTGAGCTTCCCAGGGAGCACTGACAACAGAGCCACAAAACAAGATGGGGGACAAAATAAACACTGAACAGAAACAAAAGAGAAAACAGGAAGAAAATGGGCAGGGGAAAGGAACAGCTTCCACTGGCAGTCCTGCACAGAGCTGGGTGGAGGTGGTGGTAGCCCTGAGTGAGCCCTGCATGGGAAGGTTATGGGGGCCATCAGCAGGAGTAGTCCCCCCATCCCACTTAATCAGTTAACCCGTTAAACCTAAGGTTTAACCTGAGATTTAACCAATTAAACAGGATTTTACATCTGTATCAGGTAGCATCTCTTAGCCTTCCTCACACAGAACTTCTTTTCTGCCCTTTCTTTTTCTTACCTTCACCAGCTGCTACAATGTTCACTAGGGGTCTGTCTACACTACAGTGTTATTTCAAAATATCTTATTTTGAAATAGTTATTTCGAAATAAGTTATTTTGAAATAACACGTCTTTTTGCTATTTTGAAATAGCGCGTCCACACTCTTTGAGTGCTGGACAGAACCAGGTCCAGCAGGGCATCAGGTCAGGAGTTTATTTGTGTGGCTGCTACCTGAGGCTATCTCAGGCTTGTGCTTATAGGGACCCCTTCTTCCAGATAAAAACGCCGTGTAGATGCGTTTATTTTGAAAGAAACCCCTTCTTTCGAAATGATCCGGTTTATAGGACATACCCAAAGAGGCCTGCATTCTCATTCCTTGCAGCTATTCTCCTGAGACTTATTATAGTTTTCCCTCTTCTCTGCGATTAGCAGCCTCCTAACTCCCTCTTCTGCTGAGCTGCCCTTTATAATCCTGAGCACTATCGATTGCCATTCCAGGTCAATGGGAGCTGCGGGAATTGGTGTACAGTCTGCGATGCTTCCATTAGCCAGGAACAGTGCTCCATGGCCAACAGGAGTTGCAAGCACAGGTACAGGTAAATATAGCAACAGCAGCCCACCAGGGGCTAACTCTGGCGAACCGCCACCATCTGATTGCCACCCCTGGTCCAGACCCTTGGTTTTGTACAGGCCCGTCCTGTTCCCATCTAGCTGAACCTCTTGTGTTATCAACCCCTACTCCCTGGTTCCTCCTCCAGGCCTCTCAGGGCCAGTTTGGGCAGTATGCCCTGTGACAGGTAGGGATTATCCTAGCAAAGGTGAGAGCTATTGAGTCTTGGAACCAAAGAAACAGAGCCAAAGGCTCATTCCCTATAGGCTACCAAATAGCCTTAAATTTTCAACCAACGCTGCCATGGGTTAGATTGAAATTGAATTGACAGCTCCATATCTCTCCTCCAGTGCTTTGGGGTGAGGAGTGGGGTCTTTAAAGGGAATGCCAAACATTAAACCGAGGTAAAAATGCCTCCTAATTCTCTAACATATGAACAGAGATGGACTTGGCAGCCCCTAGCTTTCTGAGGCCCTTTCAGACACCCACGAACAGGCACAGTGGCACAGCACAGAAGAGGGTGACAACTGAGAAGGCTCTGCTCTACCTTATAATTATTAACATTTACAGCTGCATCCATAAGTGAAATTTGTAGCACTTCTTCACCCTCCCACAAGGGCTCCGGGGAGGGAGGGGAGGGAGAGGATTGTTCTTGTTTGAGGTTGGAGTGGCCTCCCTATTTCAATATAAGTGTTTACACAGCACTTATTTTGAATTAGCTATTTCGAATTTGGCGTTATTCCTCATGGAATGAGGTTTACCAAATTCAAAATAAGTGCTCCACTATTTCCAATTTATTCCGAAATAGCAGTTTGGCTGTGTAGATGCTAGTAAAGTTAATTCAAAATAATGGCTGTTATTTCGAATTAACCTTAATGTGTAGACATACCCTTAGGGATTCCCTTTCTAACCATGGGTCATCATATTCCCAGTCACATCCCTGGTAATAACCTTCCAATCCTCCTCCTCAGGTAGTCCCAGAAAAAGAGATACAGAGGGTTAACCTCCATGACCAGCTGCTGCCATTTGCCTTCTTAATACCCAAAGCTATTCTTGTGGACCCTATTGTTCTTGTCTACACTTATTAGGATCAATCAGAGTGCCTTGATATGCTATACTAAGCTGTTCTTTAGTCACTGTGAAGGCACTTTTCAGGCTATCTGCCTGCCACACTATTGCTGGCTTCTCTCTTTTCTCTATCTTCCTCCTCCCTGTCACATCTGCACTTCCCTTTTAGGCTTTTCCAACTTAAGGACATATGATGCTTGTTTTTCCATCTGATGTTTCAATTTCTTATTCTGTTCCCTCATTTTCTAAAGTTTACACCATCAGTAGATTTTCCATGGCTCTAACATATATGTCATCTTACCTACATACATCCGGGGGTCAGTTACTTAAATTAGATCTAATACGAGTGAACTATCCCATATTCTGAAATATGGGGAAGTCCTTCATAAAGAAGTAATGACTGCCAGCTGATATTTTAATTTGTACTCCAGTGCTCTGACGTGTCACAGATTTAATCTTTCATTATCAACAATGTGTTATGTCCTAATAATTAATTGATTTCCCACTCCCAGAAGGCACCCTGCTGAGAGGAATGCTAGGTGTGTTTCCAGATGCACATAGGCCTATAAGTAGTTAAGAGTTAAAATTTCTGCACTGGCACTGCTTTACTGGTAGGTAAGCCACAACCCAGAGTTGATTGGCCCAAAATGACACCACTGCTGATGTCTTCTGGGGTGCCAAACTATAATGGCTTCTGTTTGATCATAAATTAAATGAGACATCAAATAGTCAGCTCAATTGGTTTATTAATCAAAGATTAGACATCTTGGATTAATCAGCACAATACAGAGAGGCAATTCACTAATCAAGGGTCCAGTGTCTTGTCAGTTGTTCCACTGGTCCAACTAATTTTACAATTCTACCCATTACTACTTCTTCTTTCCTTTTACACCATTTAGTTTTATATCTATGAGTATCAAACCGAAGACAAATGTCAGATTCCGTTATACCGTACATTCGAGTTTGATCCTGCTTAACAACGTGTTTTAACCAGTCATTTCATTTTGTCCATTGTGTTTTAGAATGTCTTAGACATTCCCCCAAAATATGTTAATATCACACTGTGATTATGGTTATGTACCTGCAAGGTGAGTCATATCTCCTCATACATTCCCATTGTATAAGCCTCTTGTTTTCATTTCAGTTACAACTTCATTAGCAAATCACAGGCATAAAACAAACTTAAAATAGGTTATGAAAGTAGGACACACTCGAACACATTTTCAGTCTATAAACAATTTAAATATCTACGTGCTAGTAATTTCTATTGTTATATTTTAATTAAATGAAAACTCTAGCCTATTTAATTTGGAAATACCAGTTGTTGTAAGAGCATGAGAATGAAGCAAAAGCCCAGCTCTTTTAGGTTACGCTGATCTATTATCACTTAGCTCCTATGCAGAGGGCAAAGAGCAACCTTCCATGGCAACTGCAGGAAAAATGACAGACCCAGGTCTGCCTGACCTGTGGACTTGGATGGAAACACAATAATTTCAAAAGGGGCAGAAATATAAAAACACCCTTTGCTAGAGCAATGTCCTTGTTAACCACACTTCATAGCTCAAACTGATCTACAGACAGGCTCTTTCCTCTTCCTTCCCTACCTCTCCTTGCTCTTCCCACTCCTTTTTTCCTGATACCCTCTCTGTCTCTTCTCATCTGCTTTCCTCTCCTTTTTTCTCCCTTGTGCTTCATTAGTACTAACAGATTTCACATTCATCTGTGGATACTGATGAAAGAATCTGTGAGAAAGTAAGAACTAAAATCCATTCCTTGAAAGCCCAGCATCCCTTTTCTCACCCTGGAGACAAAGGCTATGTGTAGACTATATCCCGATCAAAAATGCAAATGAAGCATGGATTTAAATATCCTGCACTTAATTTGCATATTTGCGTCCTATCGCTGTTCCGAAAAAAGGTATTTCAAAAGTGAAACCGTAGTCTAGACATGGTTCTTTCAGGGGAAAAACCCCTCTTTCGAAAGAACCCATACTCCTTAAAAAATGAGGAGTACGGGTTCTTTTTAAAAAAGGGGTGTTTTTTTCGAAAGAACCACGTCTAGACTGCGGTTTCACTTTCAAAATATCCTTTTTTGAAACAGCAATAGGACGCAAATATGCAAATTAAGTGCAGGATATTTAAATCCGTGCTTCATTTGCACTTTTGATCGGCTCATTTCTATCCCTCTTTCGACAGAGGGATGTAGTCTAGACGTGCCCAAAGAGAGTTACTCAGACCCTGCAGTATCAGGAGAATTTGGCCCGGGAGCCAGAATGGGAGACCTTAGACAGAAGGCTCCAAAACTAAATGCCAGAAATGGACTCAGGTGCAGGGGCAGATGACTATTTTGTGGGGCTCAGGGCAGCACAATTTCACAGGGCCCCCCTTTGCACAGCGCATGCGCGGGGCTTCTTGAAGCGCAGGGACCGGGGCGGCCACCCCGCTCGCCCTCCTCTCTATCCGCCCCTGCTCAGGTGAATGTTCCTGGGTAAGAAGCAGGAGTAGTTATCCTTGAAGGACAAAGGCAGAGAACCAGGTACTTAAATTCTAATAGTTTGGGACCCTCTCTTCAGTTTCTGTCAACGATGTCTGAGATGGAGCATAGTGTACATAGTACAAGGCTCCAACCAGCCTGACCTGTTCCAGAGGCGAGCACATATGGAAACAAAATCCAGGAAAAAGAAAGCTGGATCATAGCCACCATCTAGAGACAGAGTCCCCTGGTATAATCCAACAGGCCAGACATGCTTAGAGCTGCTGAGCTGATTTGGATGGCCAGCACTGCTGAAAGGAAGAGTGACCACATGGAGATAGATTTTTACCTATCTAAATTGAGTCCAGACACCAAAAGAGAGACATGAGAACCGCACACGGAGAGAGATTTCATACGAGTGTAAAATAGTAACATGGGTAGAAACTTCACTTAGAACAGAGGAATTGGAAAAGCTTAACTCACCGAGATCTTGGTGAAAATATAGAGGAGCAGAGAAAGGACTGAGAGATACATCTGAATCCGTCGGCCGCCAAACCGCTTCTTGAGATACTCTGGCATCGTCACCACCTGCAGAGGGAGCGGGAGAAGAATTCATACCACGAGCAACAGACACAGCTACCATAAGGGCAGAGGGTCTTTTCATCCAGAGATCACACTGATATGTGCACTAGAACTGCAAACGGCCAGGGTCAGGCACCTTCATGAATCCCAGAAAGACAGTCTGTCAAATGCTCCTCATTTGGGATCTCACAGATGCAGAGACCTCCTTGTTTAAACACATACAGACACAACTTATGTAGAGTCCCTGTCCGATTCAGGTCTCTCCTCCCATGGAGAATGGTTTGGTGGTGGTCTGAGATCCACACGCACAGCAGAATGAAACAGAAAGATCAAAACTGGGAACAATAAAAGGCAAAACCCAATGTTTGTACTCACCCCAGCTCTGATATAGATGGGAACGAACAACCAGCCAAGAACAAACAAAATGACCAGGGCCTGTAACCAAGGAAAGAACCACTGGGTTAGCCTCTTGTCCTTTCAGTAGCACTTTCCCAGGCCACGTAACAAGCTGCAGTGAAAAAAAAACAATTCCCGTTGCAGGTGCCCCGACCTCATTCTTCCTCCTTGTCGGGCAATTTGCAGTTGGAACTCCAGAGATGAAATCCCAGCCTTGCTGAAGTCAATGGAAGTTTTGTCTTTGATTTCAATAGGGCTAGAACTTCACCCCGATGAAAGCCCCTGAGGAAGAGTCCTCCACTGCAGCAGACTTACTGGCATATCAAAAAGGAGATTACTACAGTATTTTTCTCATGTCTGTCCATGGGAAAATACATTTGTAGCGTGTCTAACGCTGGTCTTAAAATTTCCTTCTGTTGCACTGTCCCACCGCATTTCCACTAATAATAGCAACTCCCAGGGCAATAGCGTACTCTGGGAGCAGGTGCTTAAACCACTGTTTCGTTAGTCTTACCCAGAGCAGGTCTACAGAACACGATGGTTTAAACACCAGAAGCCCCCAGAAACCTCTCTGCGCTGGCAGATTTGCCATTGCTGTTGTGGTAAGATGAAGGTCTAAATCAAAAGCCCATGTAGCACAGGCCTGGTCTGAGGCCTGAGGCCTAGTTCACAATGGAAAACACTTGGCTAACATAAAGCAAAGCTAAGCTGGGAGCAAGAGGCAGCTCACAGAACTTGGCACACACAGGGCTGAGAGTGCAAAACTCTAATTGGTAATGGGACCAGGTGCAGAACAGTCATTAGTACTAGGTACTGACAGTATAACAGTCATTGGTTCTGGTCATAACTTGAAAGCACATGATACCAGCAGCTCATTAAAAAATTATTGATACTCACACGCCCCACAGACACAGACATAGGGGCAGGAAAGGGTCTAAAATGACAACATGATGGATAGAGATGATCTAATCAAACCACAAGGTGCAAGGTGATGGGTGGTATCTAAGAAGCATCAGAGGGTGACAACCTGACACATCAGCAGTGAAGTGTAACTTGTTTGTACCCATATATAAGGTGTTGTCTTGGGGGGACATTCTGTGAATGATCTAGAGGGCATTGGCATTTTCCAGTGAGTGAGTCAATCCCTTGTTACGAATTGCATACGCGCAGTGGTTCAGTAGAGTCTACTGACAGCTATGACTGTGCTTCGCTCTGCAATAAACCTGCCTGGACACCTTCCATCCTTATCCGGTTTGTGGTCTCTGGGGGGTCTCTTGGGGTCTGCTGTGGACACTAAGTGCACAAGTTGACACGACCCACATCACTGAGCACGCACACAAGCAGCCTTCTGGTTATCATCATCCGTGGAGCCAGGGACCTGTGAGGACACCGCAGCAGTAAATCTGGACCCCTCCTGGTTCACTGCAGCAGGAATGGGCATATCAAGAATGAACATAAGAACATAAGAATGGCCATATTGGGTCAGACCAAAGGTCCATCTAGCCCAGTAGCCTGTCTCCTGACAGTGGTCAATGCCAGATGTCCCAGAGGGAGTGAATAGAACAGGTAATCATCAAGTAAATCCCTCTCCCGTCATGCATTCCCAGCCTCTGACAGAGGTTAGGGACACCATTCCTACCCATCCTGGCTAGTAGACATTGATGAACCTAACCTCCATGAATTTATCTAGTTCTTTCTTGAACCCTGTTAAAGTCCTGGTCTTCACAATCTCCTCTTGCAAGGAGTTCCACAGGCCAACCATGTGCTGTGTGAAGAAAAACTTCCTCTTGTTAGTTTTAAACTTGATATCTATTAATTTCATTTAGCGACCCCAAGTTCTGATGTTAAGAACAAGTAAATAACTTTTCCACACCCGTCATGATTTTGGGGTATGTCTACACTACCCCGCTAGTTCGAACTAGCGGGGTAGTGTAGACATACCCTGGGACATGTTAAGAAAGTCTAGGGATGCCATGTTCAGCCCCCTTTATTAGCCCCTCACTGCAGTCTCCAGGCAGCCACCGGCACAAGAAACATCCCATTAAGAAATTCACGTGTGTTATGTGCAAGTCTCGCATCTGACTAGTTCTGCTCCTCCAAAGGCGCTGGAGAGCAGAACCTACTTCCATACCCATGTCACCCAACGGACTAGCCCACTGACCTGCCTTCTGGTCTAGATCTCTCGTCTACACACTATTTCTTTATTGCCTCTCTGAAGTTCTGCTCATAGATTAAGCACGGGCTATGCCAGAGATACTGAGTACCATTCTGCTCTCATTTACACCCATTGAATCAAGAGTAACTCCACTGACAGCAACTGAATTACATTGACACAAAGCCAGAGGTAAGTGGGAGCAGAATTGGGTTATTGGCTACGTCTAGACTGGCATGATTTTCTGCAAATGCTTTTAACAGAAAAGTGTTCCGTTAAAAGCATTTGCGGAAAAGCATGTCTAGATTGGCACGGACACTTTTCCGCAAAAGCACTTTTTGCAGAAAAGCGTCCGTGCCAATCTAGACGCGCTTTTGCGCAAAAAAGCCCAAATTGCCATTTTCATCATCGGGGCTTTTTTGCACAAAACAAATCTGAGCTGTCTTTTGCCCGAACGGGAGCAGCATAGTATTTCCGCAAGACACACTGATTTCTTACATGAGATCGTCAGTGTTCTTACGGAAATTCAAGCGGCCAGTGTAGACAGCTGGCAAATTTTTCCAGTCTAAACTTGCCAGTCTAGACACAGTCCCTTTGTTAAGAGGGTCAGTGTGACTCCAAAAGCCGCATTTCCCCCATGTATATTAGCATATTTAACACTTCCAATTGGTTGTTTGTATTGGAATGAGCTAACTAGCTGTGTGCATGTGCATGCGTGTATAACACTGTGCTCTACTGGACGGAACCCAAGCCTCTTAATTGTTTGTCTTAGGGTACGTCTAGACTACATGCCTCTGGTGACAGAGGCATGTAGATTAGGCTACTGGACATAGTAAAATGAAGCAGCAATTTAAATAATCGCCGCTTCACTTAAATTTACATGGCATACCTGGGTGGTCGACAAATACCTTTGATGTTGGCAGGGGAGCATCCAGACTATCGTGCTGAGCCGACAAACAGCTGATCAGCTGTTTGTCGGCTCAGCGCGGCAGCCATGTAAATTTAAATGAAGCGGCGATTATTTAAATCGACGCTTCATTTTACTGTGTCCGGTAGCCTAATCTACATGCCTCTGTCAGCAGAGGCATGTAGTCTAGACGTACCCTTAGGCTGCATACTGCTAACAGCTAATGGAGAGCCCTTTAGTTTACACGGCAGAAGATCCTGAAAGAGGATCTGGGTTCTGTCCCTTCAGATGTCATGAAGTTCTAAGTGTCCTTAGTATGGATTTGTTCCAGGAGCAGCATTAGAAACTAATCAAAGTGACAGTTTAAACGAACTGATTCCAGTGTGTGCCTCTCTCTAATGAGCATCTAGTTTAGTGGTCTCCAACCTTTTTACACCCAAGATCACTTTTTAAATCTCAGAACAAGCAAAGATCTACCACCCCATCCTTCCCCCAAGATCCCACCCCTTCCCTGAAGCCCTGCCCTCTCTATTCTCCTCTTCTCCATCACTTGCTATCCCCAGCCCCTATACACTCTACACTGCCGCTTTGTTTTTCCAATTCTTCTGTAGGAAGAGGTTTTTCCAACATTTTGCCTGTCTAGACTGGACCAAATGTTAGAAAATCTCCTTTTTTTGGAAGCCCCCTTATTCCTCGTGGAACAAGGAATATAGGGGTTACAGAAAAAGCATGTTTGCTCTTCTACGGAAAAAAGCAGAATAACAAATGCATCCCTGGATGCAGAAGAGTTTTTCCAGGATCTCTTTGGAATCCTGAAAAACTCCTGCAGTCTAGCCATAGCCTCACTGGGTTGAGACAGGATGTGTGGGCTCTGGGGTGGGAATGAGGGATTTGGGTGTGGGAATGGGTGAGAGGTGCTAGTTCTGGGAGGGAATTTGGATGCAGGAGGAGGTGGAGAAGCTCCAGGCTGGGGAGTGTTGGGGTCAGATGGAGGGTTGGGGTACTAAGCAAGCCACAGGCTTGTGGGTTTGAGGGGGGAGGAATTTGGGTTGAGGTATGTGAAGGGCTCAGGACACGTTAGGCTCAGATCTAGGGGGTGGTGGTGGTGCAGGAGTGTTATAATGTGTTAACACAAAAAGTTTCAGCATTGTCTTTATTTATGAGAAGGGAACCTGTTTTGAGTCAGGGGGTCACTGACCCACAGAAAAGTCAGTTGGGGCCACACAAGGGAGATACAAAAAAAACCCTTCTCCCCGAAACACCCCAAACCTCATTAATGTGGCCCCAACTGTGCTGGTGGGAGCAGGGGACATGCTACTGGGGAAGGGTGCTAGTGGGTGCTGGTGCAGGGGACAGAGTGCTGGGGTGGGGGCAGGGTTCTGCAGTGCACCCCTCCCGCAGTGCAGTGAAGTCCCAGCCTGTTTTGGGGGAGGGGGACCAGCCAGCGCACTTCCTGAAACTCCAGAAGTGGCGCGCAGTTGCAGGACATCCGTCCACCCCACAGGAAGCTGGTGCTACATCCATTTTCACTGGAGGTAGGTAGTGGGGCTTCTTAGGAGTGGGGGAAAATGGGGGAAAATCAAACGCCTCACGATCGACTGGTCGAGCCCTTGCAATCAACCAGTCAATTGTGATCGACCAATTGGTGACCACGGATCTATTCCCTTCTCCTTATACAAAGAAGTTCCAGTCTACGCAGGTTGAGAGGGGTAGCCGAGTTTGTCTGTAACAGGAAAAACTTAAAAAACAACAAAAGGAGTGGGGGAAAATGGGGGAAAATCAAACGCCTCACGATCGACTGGTCGAGCCCTTGCAATCAACCAGTCAATTGTGATCGACCAATTGGTGACCACGGATCTATTCCCTTCTCCTTATACAAAGAAGTTCCAGTCTACGCAGGTTGAGAGGGGTAGCCGAGTTTGTCTGTAACAGGAAAAACTTAAAAAACAACAAATAATCTGGTAGCACTCTATGGACTAACAAAACATGTAGATGGTATCATGAGTTTTCATGGGCACAACCCAGGCTTCATTTTATACCTATCACACTTCTATTAAAAATAACTTAAGAGTAATACGGTCCCCTTGATGCATCAAACCAGATTACAGGGAAACACCAAAGAGCACAGCTCTAAGGTCTTTTGTGGCATTGCATAAACTCCTTTGTGAAGTGCAACAGATAGGAGTTCCAGAGGCTGAGGATCCAAGAGAAAGAACCAGATCTCAAGGATCTCAATTAATGCACATGCTTTCGTGACCTCAAGGGCTATATCTACACAGCAACAGTATTTTGAAATAATTTAATCCATGTCTACACAGCCTGCAATTATTTTGAAATAGTGTCAAAACACCATCAAGCTGGAGGACTTCCTACTCTGACTCCTGTAATCCTCATTGTACAAGGAGTAAGGGAAGTCAGAGGAAGAGAACTCTACCCTGAAATAAATGCTCTGTAGACAGCACCAAAACTCGAAATAAGCTATTTCAAAATAAGCTAATTGACATAGCTCAATTTGCATAGTTTATTTCAAGTTAAGCCCTGCAGTATAGATTTCACAGTTAGGGTATGTCTACACTGCAAAGTAAATTCAGAATAACAGCCGTTATTTCGAATTAACTTTAATAGCATCAATACATGCAAACCGCTATTTCAAAATTAATTCGAAATAGCAGAGCGCTTAATTCAAATTTGGTAAACCTCATTCTACAAGGAGTAACACCAAATTCAAAATAGCTATTTCGAATGAAGTGCTGTGTAGACGCTTAATTCGAAATAGGGGGCCTCCAGCCCTTCCCAGGGAGCCCTGGTGGCCACTCTGGGCACAACCAGGAAAACTTACTCTCCTCTCCTCCAGCCCCGGAGACATTAAAGGGGTAGACCCTGGCCACACTGCACGTGCCAGCTCCAAGCCTGCCAGCCCAGAGCCAGCAGTGGCCACCGGGGCCCCGATCCAGTTGCCCCAAAACATGAGCAGTCTGCCAGCTCCCAGGAGCCTGACAGGGGCTGGAGAAGGCAGGCGCCTTCCTGGTCCAGGGTGGAGATCATGGACCTTATTCAGGTTTGGGGGGGGGGATGCCCCCAACTTCCATGATCTCAGCCCTAGATGGAGGAACGTGGCCATCTATGATAGGATAGCTGCCAGCCTGGCCACCAAAGGCCACATGTGAACCCAGGAGCAGGTTTGCATGAAAGTCAGGTTGGTCCAGCGAGACCCCCAAACGTAAGCCCTGAGCTTCCCCTCCCCC